AAACATTTAAATATATCGATGTAGAGACTTAGAGACACGAAAGAAAACAGGCAGGTGTAAGATAAGTTTTCGTTCCCTTAGCGTGTCCATAAATCGATATTCTTCAATTTTTAATAACGCATTCTCGTGGAATTGTATTTATGAAATTATGTAGTTTTTCGATTGATGCCTTGAATTTCAAAAGTAGCATCATCGGAATTGTGTGTAAACTAAAGCAAAATCGTAAAATTTGTAAACTTATTAAAATAATGCATGTAATTGGGTGTCCCAATTTCGCCTAATTTATTGGAATAATATTTTGCCAAGACATTTATTTAAGATCCTGCGGGTGGTGTGACTAACGAGTAAAGTTGGCAACAGGTTCGTTTATATTTCCAATCATGTAAAAATACTGAAATGTGTAATTCATAATCCTCTGAACTGAAATAATTTTCAGCTAATAAATTTATAATATAGCGTGACGGTTCAATACCTGGATTAATCTGACTGCAACAGTTGACGTCATAATCTCATGGGAGATTTTATTAAAACTGAAATAAATATTCGCTGCATATCATATTATAAATTTAAATTTATCCCAACAGCCACTTCGCTTTATATTAATAGAGCGATATGATGCCGGGTTGGGTCGACATTGATTTTTTTCAATTATTTTTGGAATAGTCGCCAGGTGTGGTTAAAAATTTGCAGAAATCTACATAGCAGATGCAAAAGAACTAAATTTTCGACGTTTTACTAATCGAATTTTATAGGTCACTGGAATTAATTAATAATTTACAACTATTAAAATTTTATTTGGTTGGTTAAATAAAAATAGCACTTTGTATGATTGTACCTATAAGGGCGATAATTTTATCGGAAATGTTATCAAATGTTGCATGTAGGCAACTCAAACGAATTCCACTGCATAATTTAGCTGAAATTAATTAAATTCAATTATTTACACCAATTAATTTTTCTTTCGTCTATGAAAATTTTTGATGTTGCAGCAACTTTCATAAATTCAATTACTAGTTTCATTAAATGGTTGCAATGTATGAATCATACTCGCTTTATTGAATTTAATTTTCGTAAATAGATAAATTATTATAATTATTTTTAAAATCTATTCTTTTGATTTAATAACAATGCATTTAACATTTTTATTTTTTATTTTATTTCAACGTAAAATGCATACACAAAGGAAAATACAATATACGAACAATAAACCAAAATCTTTTGTTGTGTGTTTTTAATTTTTAATAATAAAACACAAAGAAATAACGGTTCCCAACCTACATATCTGCTTGTAATAATTTTACTTTTGAGCCTTGTTCGATTTCAAAGTCAATACCTACTTCACGTTTAAAGCACATCTCAGGTGTATTCTATACACTTGGATCGCTCTTATTGTCCAATAAAACAAAAGTTACAATTTGAATTTTAAATTCTGCGTTTAAAATTTCAAGAATCGTTAAATATTAATAATTCAGCGAAACATTTTTGCTTTCGTATTAAATTCGACTCAATAATGGTTTATTGATCGATGATTTGAATGTGCAGGGCCGACTTTTGAATGGCACATCCTTCTTTCAGTGTTGCTTTTAAAGAGAAGCCATAGGATAGTGTCCGAGATAAATTCTAAACTTGTTCAGGATTTCCCAAGAGACCTACAAACCAATCTGGCTTCTCGCGACTATTGTTTCTAAGTCAGAATGCTGGAAATTCACTTTACTAGTAACAAATTGTATTCAAAAAATGTAAATTTTTAATTCGGCAACCAATTATACACATGGTGACTGGAGGCGTCTACACGAAGAATTTTCTTTGGTGTCAATAAGCACCAATCAAGCGATGCAATCAAGAATTTCAACTTTGTTGTTTATTTTTATGTGATCATAAAGTGAGTATAATGTCGTAAAGTTTGTATATGGGTGAAGTCCTCGGGACGTGTATGGTGTGCAATATTAATGAGATGCCATCAGTTACAAATTACCTATGGCAGTCCTGATATTAACGTTGGATTGCCATTATTATCTAATGACATTTTAATGTACATCTGTATCATTTATTTCCGCCAGGAAGACGGGAATCAAGTTATCCCAATTAATTAAGAAATATTGTTTCAAGGAATAGTTGTTAAATTTATAACCTTTCATGTTTGACATCTTAAATGTTAGTCATCTTTAATAAGAGATGAATTCTGTCTATTTCATCCAACAACTTCACTCAACTTGATGGTGTAGTCAGGTGGACATTAATTTTACGTTTAACTGTGCAATTTAATCACTGACGTGGATAATTTCAACCAACTTCGCTTCCTTATCTTACCGATTGATATTTTTATTTTGGTCGCTATTTGATAGGTGCTATTAGTTAAAATCGATGGCGTCCAACCATGGCAACGACTACTCAATACAGACCGAAGTTAAATCAATAATATTCATATCAAAGTCATGACTCTATACTTCATACACGTTGGTATTATTGTCATTTGCGAAACGAAGATATGTTTAGCGGATGCGACATAAACGCTACTTCCGTGTAGCAATCGTGGACTGCCTTAATATGACTGCAATTTGTATATTGCAAAACCTTATCATTGCTTTTATTACAGCTGTATTGTATTGCGCTCTAATTGAGCAATAAGATGTCTTGAAATTATTCCCAGCAAATTGCAACTGTGCTTTTGTTAATTTTTCTAGTTCTAGTTCTTAAAACACTTGATTTGCTGGTTTTCTTGAATATTAGCGATGATTGCTCGCTACTGGACTCATTTTAGGCAATACTCAAATTACTCTCCATTTCCATCAGCATGTCGTGACTAGATTAATGCATTATTAAGTAAAAATTTGAACAATGACATGTCATTTTTGTATTTAGTTTATTTCAAGGAATTGTCGTAGTCAAAAATGAAAAGTGAACCGACTTAAAAACAAACATATTTTAGCAGTACCTAAGTATATAAAGATAAAGAACAATGGATTAATTGAGTAATAATTTTTTCATTGCTAATTAACAAAAAATGGAAACGTGAATTTCACAGCTGAAAGTATTTAGGTGAGCCATTTTTTTAGATTACGTGCCATTGAAATACAAGCAATAATTCAGTAGCGTTTTGAATTCCATAATCTCATTGTTCACGAAATGCCAGCTACATTTATTGTTTATATATAAATTGCCAAAAAATCATAAAAATTTATGTTTCTGGTCATTACATGGACAAATTAATGTAGTAACATTTTTAATCGCATCATAAAAGTTTGTGGAAAGTTTAATAGATTTTAAAGGATTACGGCGGTAGGTGTCGGCTCAAACATGCAAATTATTATTTACGAAAGGTTCTACAATTCGGTTAAACATGTGAGAAATTTTAAATAACCTAAATAAATTATTCGCAAACCGGATTTTGACGGAATCTGGTGTGAAATGCAACGAAAAGTAGGTGATTAAAAACTTAAAACCCAAACAAAACAAACTTACGTTCAGCTTTAATGGTTTATAAAATTACAAACTGAAAAAAATTGTCACATTTAAATCGTCAATTCGGTTAGAAATATTTAGGTCGTTTTACTTTAGACCTTTGATCAACACATTACAAATGATTATTTATTGCGATTATAAATAAATTTTACAGGTTGTGCTATTAAAATTAGAAACGTTCAAAGTGTTACCTTCATGTAAAATTTAAATCATATATCATATACTCGTAGTACTTACAGTTGGAAGGAATCACCTGTTGTGAAATGTACAATTTTTAAGACGTAAAAATGTTTAATGTGAAAAATTGTGGTGGGTGAGAGGCAAAGGAGGCAGAGCCTTCCTAAAAAAATTGTAAAATTATTTCAGATTCTATTAATAAAAAAATCTTTATACTTACTCGTAACAAATGATTTAGGAGCATTTGATTAGTCTTTGTAACTTTGACTTCAAAAAATCGATAAAACGATGTACTTATTATGACTCAGAATTAAATGAAAACTTAATTCTAATCATCAGTTTTAATAATTTTTTTGTTTTGTTTATTTAGGTAGCCACATTTTTAACATACTCGTAAATAGGACGAGACTTAAAAACAGCCAAAATATAAGCTTAATTAAGTATTATTTATAAAAAAAAATAAGAAGATTATAAACGACATTGGTCAAAGAGGCCTTTGTATAAATTGAAGGACAATAATAATTCCAGTCACTGACAAAACGTATACGTTTCACAAACTTAGGAGTCGCTACTGTTGTATAAAGAATTTTTTTTGTTTTTTTCTTGGAAAAAATTAAATATGTTGGAAAAAAGTTATATGTATGTATAATTCCGAAAGAAAGCTTTTATGCTTCCCTTGGACGTTTACTAGACTTCCTCTGCAAGAGATCTATGTGTGTTTTTTCCTAGATAGATTGAGAAACTTGAAATTTTCTTTTGTGAGCTTTTATTTTTGAAGCTTGCTTGTGGTTGGTTCAAGAGGTGATCCGGTGCATGTTGTTTTTGTTTGAGAGGGTATGTATCCAGCTGTCGTGTGTGCGGCAGGTAGGTAGTATATTCGGTGTTTGGTGGCGGCGTCGGCGGCGTCGGTTCATGGCGCATGAGTGTCAAGGTGCGCGCGCGGTGCCAGCTGCCTACCTGTCGGGCGGCGCGGGTGGCAGTCTGAGGCAAGCACTGGCTGCGACACCACCCCTGGCGCCGCCACCGCGATTACAGCACTGCAACACCTACTCACCTGAGTGCCCCACCCCCACCTGATCCTCCGGCTCGGCTCGCCACGACACCGCGCCACAGTCTAGCAGCGACCGCCAGCGGTTTCACAACGGATCCGCAACTGGACCTCCTCAGCGACTTGCCCCAGTTGTGCCGTAGTGTTCAGTGCATGTGCTTCCCGGACCGACGCCAGTTCGACGTGCACGTCGCCGCCCCCGGGACTTACTAGCGTGAATCGTGGAGACCGCTTTCAACACCACGAAGAGAGGCCGGCATCCTCTGGGAGACGACCTGTCCCCGACGCCTGCCGCCACTCCGCCGTCCCTGAAGAGGGCTCGACACGACTCCGAGTCGAGCAGCCCTCTACAAGCCTCAGACCAGGACATGGAAGCTCCTCTCGGTGTCACGCTCAGTCAAAGCATGGATTCCGTCAACACGAACAACGGCGAGGAGGAGGTGAGTACTACCGGATCTTCCGGCGCACCCGCCAAAAAATCGCATATTCATTCGGTTGGCGAACAGCCAATTTTCAAGACCAGACTGCATGTCGCACGCGATGCACCATGCAGGTGGTGTCGAACGCCCCACCCTCGCACATTGCGTAACCGATTCTTAGACGTTTCTTCTTCTTCTTATTCTTCTTCCTCCTCCTCTGAGGTCCGGTGATGCGTGCCGGCATAAATAACGCACACAAACATCGCAATCAGATGCCGGGTGGGCGTGACTCTCATGCCTCTTCATCCTTCGTGTTGTATTGTTCTCGTGCCACGGTCGCGGACTACTTTTACATTCACAGTTGCCACGAAAAACTAATTTCCAAACCATTTTCTCAACTCTTTCGGAAAAGTCCAAACACATTAAATCAAAGAGCGGATCCAACCAAAATTAATTCATTTTTGAAAGATGTAAACTCTTTTTCTTAATTATACTAACAAGTCAAAGGGTAGATGTGTTTGACAACTATTTAAGTTTAAAGGTAAAATCAATAATGTTCCAAATATAATAATAATAATAACTAACAATTATGACAACTTAACTTTTTTAAATTACTAAGACTGAAGTAATAGATTTTAATAGACTTATAAACAGAAAAGTTCATTTTATTCTTTTCTTCATAAATTCCTTGTTGCTATGTTGATTTTAGACAAACAAAACTGTAATTTACTTTCGTATTTGTCTATCTACACATTGCTATACTAAAAAAAAAGATGAAGATTGGAAAAACTCATTGCTTACAGTGTTTATGACATAATAACATATAGGTAGACAAGGAAATACGAAAGGTAAACTGTCATCTCTGAACTAAAAGAAATATTTGAATTGCTGGATTAAATATGTATTATACACGTAGGCAAAACGATGTTTCCCACTCCAAAAAATGTTTGTTCTTTTTATAAAATTTACTTTTATTTTCACTTAAAAATTTATCTATTGTAAAAAACTTAAATTTCTATCAAATAATAGGTAACTTTTTAGTTCTATCGCTTAAAAAAGATAAAGTAATAAAATGTTATTGCATTTAGTTTGCTAATAATTAAGAAACGAACTGTAAAAGTCTTACCTCCAAGCGTTCAATTAAATTTTTGATCAAAATGGCATCTGACTTTGAAATTAAGTTGGCAACTTTGAAAAGTGTATTTAGATGGAAGATGTGAGTTGTGTCAACTTTTATGTTTTCTGTCTCTATTGTAATCAGTATTGCAAACTTAATTTGTAAATTATAGGCTAGTTTTATTTTTTATGCATGAAATACATATTCTTTTAGATCTGAAGGAAGCATCTTTATTTAGTCTTTATTTTCTCATCTTCAAATTGTAAATTTTCAAAGAAAATTTACTCATTTAGAAAATTCTAGAATTCCATGAAATGATAACTTTTCTGGTCACTTTTGCGTCCTCTTCCATTACACTCGTAAAGCTGTAACAGTAAAATATTATTACTTTTTATTAGATTGGCAACATTAAAAAAGGTAGACAGGAGATTATAAAAGAAATCTAATTCATATCTTCTGTCTTTATTTAATTCAGTGTTGCAAACTTAATTTAGACACTCTTGCCACTCTTATAAGAAATTTAATTGAAGGTATGGCAAAGTATTTACACAAAGAACAGTTTATAATATTTTATAAAAACTTTTTCAGGTATAACATATTCATTTAGTAGAAATACATGTCGATATGTGATTTACTTTTTGTTTTTCTTTAAATTTTGGGCTGTTTATGTCGATAATTTAACTGTGCTAATCACGATAATCATCGACTCCGACATAATAACTCGCGTTTGGTTACGTGCACACCGAAAAGTGTCTACAAATGAGCTTTAAACACCCATTGCTTTGTCGAGCCGAGTTATCAATTTTTGTAAAATCTTGTGTAGTTTCAATGATTGCTCTTGGCCTCACAGAACATTAAGTTCCACTAGTTTTGACCTTTCGCCCTTTGTTGCTGTGTTTCTACACGCGCATTTGCGTTCCGAGTATGAAAATTTCACGCCGGAATTGTTGTCTGATTAAATACCGACATCAAACAGCTACCGGTCATATTTCAAAGCTATAATGAAATCAAACGACGACAATAAATAATTTTCTGTGAAGTTTGATGAGATCGTTTTGCTTCATCAGTGTCGATAACGATAATGGCACCTCCGTAGATTCCAGTTTGATTACGGTCGATCAAATTCGAAATATGTCCGTTTTACCCTAGATAGGAAAATTATGAGATTCAGGAAACTTTACCAACTTTTCACTAAGCCGAGTTTTCAATCTCAATTTACCTGCTTATACCCGCAATTAATTTCTCATTTTAATTCGGGAGGAAGTAAATGCACCATCAGTGCGCTAGCCACGTACAAATCTTTGCTTCGATCCAATTTCGGAGTTGGAGAGAAAGTTCAAGATGCATTTTTCACCGGATTTGATTAAAGCGTAAATGCGAATTGTTAACACTGTGAAAGTGAGGACTTTTTGTCTAGTTAAAGCGGCAAAAACTCCTTTTCTGGAGCAAATATCTGGCAAAGTTATCAACATAACAAACAGCTGCGAAAGTAATCATTCATTGGGGAAACTTACCATCACTTTCGTGGTTTCATTTTCTTTCTTTCTGTCGCTTTAATTACACGTTTATCTTAAATTAAGAGCAAACATTTATCATTTCACACTTTTAAATGTATGGTAAACGGAGCGTTTGTGTCGAGTCGCGAGAATTTACCTTTAGGTCATTTCAAGAATTGGGTTAAAGACTGGTCTGAACTTACCTCACGCAAGTCCAGCGTTTCTATAACACACACTCATTGCATAATAATAATTGTAATTTTTGGCTGAAAACTCAGTAAAAATAAGGAATTTCATGCTGAAGCCGTTTCCAATGATTGGATTACACTTTTGTTCAGGTTACAATGGAATTGCAATGCAGATTCTTGTTTATGTCATATTTTCGATTGCTTTTTCACATAATTTTTAAAGAGTTGAGATTAGAATTGAGATTCATCTTTTTTCTATTGTCAAGATTTCAAGCTCAACAGCTGCTACAGACTATTATATGATAAATATCATTCCAGTTTTTCTGCTTTACAAATATTCGAGGGAAAAGTAGTTATTGTTGATTGAAGTTTTTTCGAAAGACATTTTAGTGGAACGTCTGTCACGTTCCATTTTAAAACTCTAACAAGTAATAATACGAATGACATGTTTTACGTGCGTTTGATGTTTTGATCTTGATGTCCTTCGCAAGTAATTCAATGAACACGCCTACATAATTATTAGTATTTTTCAAGGCAGACACGAAGAAGTTGCGACCAAAACTAATCCCTTCTTAAGAGAAACTAATTTTTAACACCTACATGTATCTTTTAAATAGCATTTAACTCGATATTAATGAGAAAACTGTGTCAGTTTGTTGGTATTTTATTTCAGGAGCTGCGTTTAAAATTTTTGATGTGTTGTATCATCTTGTCACACATCTAATTTAAAATATAGGCCACCGGATTTGCGTAGAACTGAAAAAAAATCTTTGATTTATTTGCATTCTTTTTAAGATTCGAATTTCTCTAGATTTGTTGAAAAAATCGTATGCTCTAAAAGTTTTGTCTTGTTCCTATACAATTATCGGTGTTACGAAAGTTTTGATTAGAAAGTGTATTAATTTAGCAGTGCATGAAGTGGCACCGGTCTAAACAAAGCACTGATACCGTTAAAAATTAATTAGTATTAATTGGAAATGAGTTAAGTAAATATCAACAAATCTGACATTTTTGTCGCGTTTGAGGTCACTAACTCCTGAAACAATTGTTGCTGGTAGTTTGTCATCGTTTACGGTTGAAAAATGAAGCAGTCCGGGACAAAAGAAGAGGTGAATCAGCTAAACTCATCACTGGGTTTGCATTTACGAGACGAATACCAGCTTGAGAATTATGTTCTTACGTGCTAGAAACCAACAGACCATATCTAGACCAGTTTCTACACGCCGTCACTTCTTTACATACTTGTCTTGGACAGTAAATCGCACAAAAGCCGGAAAACAGGCTCAAATTTTTCACTTTTCAAGTAATGACAACATGGCAGATTTATTAACGGCATTAATGACGGAAGTGCAATATTTGTGTGCAGGAAATGCGACGCGCAAAGGGTCACTTTGAAAACCGATGAGAATTGATCAGATTTTATGAAACATCTCAGCAATATTTGCAGCTTTTCTGATCAAATTTATGCAATTTTCCGGTTGATTCGAGCTTTGAAGAATTTTCCATCTAGTTTTTAATTAATTTGAATGTTATGCAACTGTATTTTTAATTTCTCGTTCGTTCAGCTTCAGTACTTAATAATAATATAAGGTATGGTGCAGGAAATGACATCAACATTGTCGTGTTGCTAATTTTGGATCTGAAATAAACACTTCTTGTATATTTTCAAATGTCACATTTAATTTCAAGCGACCAAAGGGTGCTGTAATAATGCGCAGCGTCATTACTTAGTATAATGAAATCTTTTTATAGGTAATAAAACGAAAAATTGTTATTTTATGTGTCAGTTTTCGAATAATAGAAAAGAAAATTATTGACGGAAAAATTGCAGTTTTAATACCGTTACTCCGACTAATTAGCTGGAGTATTGTAGCTCTAGTTACTTAATTGTAACCACGCAAGGCCAAACAAACTTTAGTTACTTTCTTTTTCTTTGTATGTAACAGTACATTGTTCAAATCTGTTCCAAGGTCTCTTGTTGGTTTCGGGACCGATCTATTGGAAATTATACCAAAGGAAGTATATCTAAAAAGCTGTTGTATGTAATTAAACGGTGGGCAATTACTGGCTAATTGCCTGCGTTTGAAATTCAGAGGCAACTGAATATTTTTTAATCTGGGAATATTAAGCACAGTTACATGGTTTAAATTATGGGAAATTTAATATTAATTGCGGTTAGTTTCCCTCAAACATGCAAAATACCGATCGAAAAATTTACTA